CAGCGTGGTGCCAGGCACCCTAACTGCAGGGTACTCACTGGCTGCCTGAAGCGACGCAACGGCAGGAGGCCAAAACCAGGTATTTGAATGCAGAAAGGTCTCCTGCTCCAGGTACTAAAGATCAGTACCACTCTTGACTACCTGTGTATGACCCAAGAACTGATTACAGTTGGAGTGCTATGCCTTTTCCGTCAGTCAGTCAGTCACAGAGACTGCAGTTTCTGAGCACTGCAGTATCCTTGAAGAGCGCATCTTCAGCTGCAGACCAGGAGATCTCACCTAACTGGTTTTAACTGCAAGAGTCAAACACAATAGGTCAAGCAGGGCTTCGACACAGCAAAGCAGAACATAGGTGAACTTTATAGATACCTAAATACACAACTGATTTAAAAAGTGGCCCTGCTTTAGGGACAGTGTCCACGTTTTCCCTTTTGCATGTGCACAAGGTTAACCTGGTTTGAGGTGCTGAGTTCCCAACTTCTGTTTCAGCCTGACTGGGACCGGGAACCTGATGCTGCTGCAGAATTCTCTGAAAGGCCCTGATCAGGATACTTATTCACTTTTTTGAGCTTCATGAACTCTCCATACCTTTCTATACTTACAAAGAAAGGATATAAATGTATTTCTTTATGCATATACAGACAATAGTTTTGCAGTTAAAACATCCTCCCGAAGGGTAAAAATCATCAATTTAAATCACTGTTTTTCAAGTTTACATTAGAATTCTAATCACTGACACGCATCTTCTGAGAAATAGTGAACTGCCAATATCACGCATAAAGTAACCCAAACCTAAAAGAGAAGAATCCACGTTTACTTCCTTAAGTCTTACTGCTTGTAGAAACGAATTATTTTCATTTACACTTCAAGGATTATTTTAAAAAAAAAAAAAAAAATTCCTTGCGTTCCTCTCTTCAGAAGTTAGCCAGACTCAGGATGAATATATTTGTTGTCATATGCTCTTATTCTGAGCGCTGCTGGTTTGGTTGGCAAACACTTGAATTTACTCCTTGGTTTTTGGTTCTGTATTAACCTAAATAAATGAGTAGTATATATTAAAAGATGTGATTAGTTGCAACAGACCATAATCTCATATGACACGTGCAAGAGCTCATCTTAATAATTCTTACAGCTAAAAATATGATCACCAAATACTAAAGTTAAGAAAAGTATATTTATTTGTCATCCAACAAAAAGGAGAATCACAGTACTACATTTTGTTAACAGTAGCACAGAGAAGAACAATTTTGAATCTGTGGGAGATGGAACATAACAGAAGACGGTAAACGCATGAAGTGGCACGTGACACCTTTCACCGGATTTAGCAGCAATGACAATTTCCACAATGCACTCAACATCACGCTTCTGAAATCAACACCGCAAACTCGTTCTTTTGAAGCTTCTGAAGCACTCCATACGTTGCTGTGCCTTTTCCATATTTAGTTGTGAGAAATACAGAATTCTGTGTATATCAGGTTACCAAATGTATACATAAACCAACCAAACAAAAAAAAAACCACACCCCAAAAAGCAGTAAGCCTCAGTCTTTACTGTTAGAACAGAGAGGAGCAGCTCTTTCATTATCAGATACGCTTCATACAACTCACACACTTCTCATATATACATTGCCTACTCAGATGGAGGTTTTTCTTTTTTGCCCCAAACTATTTTTCATTTTTATATATATATATGAATCATTAAAAAGGTGAAAAAGGAACGAGGGAGGTGGATAGGGGTAAGAGCGTGGTTTTCTCTTACGATTCTGGACTTCTAAGGAATATTTATTCCTACCATGCAGGACAGTTGCCTCTGAAGCGGGAACCGTTCATCCCCATTACTACCTTAAAGTATGGAAGCTACCCTGAGTAATTTTTTCCTAAACGGGAAGTTACTTGCCTGAAACATTGAGGGGCTTTCCCCTCAAGG